ATATATATATATATATATATATATATATATATATATATATATATATATATATATATATATATATATATATATATATATATATATATATATATATATATATATATATATATATATATATATATATATATATATATATATATATATATATATATATATATATATATATATATATATATATATATATATATATATATATATATATATATATTTGAAGAATATTTTCTGAAGTATAACTAAAATTGAACCTTTTCACCATTTCACCAATATTTTCAAATATAAAATTGTTATTTTATTTAAGTTATAATAATAGTTCACACAATATTAGCCAACAAATGCAACCTTAGTGAGCATGAGTTATTAGGATTTATTTATCTATGTCTGTATTAGTGCTTCTTAGTTATGCTTGGTCTGTTGTATAATTTTCTAATGTTTTTAGCTTGAGGATGTTAACATCTGTCCAGGGACAATGAATGAAAAATGTAATTTTGGGTAATTCTGCATTTGCAGCAGTGATAATTAATATACACTGTCCCTGCCAAATAAACAAATAAAATAAAAAAGAACCGTCTTTTGAAAAATTATTCCAAACATTTATTAATAATGTACATGAATCTATCTGCATTTCTTCCTGACTTCTGTTTGTGTAGTTTTTTTTTTTCCTGTTAGCAATTAATCCATTCCATTTTGTCCTACACAGGTAGCTAAGATGGAGTGATATGGAGGACATCTACACATGTAAAAGCTATCAGAATCAACTTATCCTCGGTCCAAAGATTAACCTCAGCCACTGATGTAATTGTGGACACTTGCTTCTCAACATTCTTTCAGTCAGACTGTCAACGCACTGTATCTTTCTCTAAATTATCAATAGTGTTCTTCTTAGGATGTGTAAATCCTAATGTCTTTAGCTACAGTATGTATGTTCGAATTACAATGCAAATGATGATGTTTATGATTATTAATATAGTATTTGATAATGATAGTTGTTTGAAAATGAATAGAGGTGAAAATAGTACATATGGTAGAGACATAATCTGTGATACTGTAATTACAATTTTCCTTGTGCAACTCGCCAATAAACAACATCAGATCAGCTGAATCTATTTTACCAAGATCATGTCAGTGCAGTCTCAATGATCACTGGGTCATTCCTGTTGCTGGATCTCTTGAACTTTGTTACTTGTAAAAATGAACATTCTATATAAGACATTTCGCTATAAAAAGAGTTAGTGTACTCGTGTATATATAAGGATTATATTTTAATGTAGCATACTTATTGCAAATATGTTTTTGTAAAGTTCAGGTATGCTATTTAAATTGTTATTAGATTATCTGCGGAGGAGCAATAATTCATGATTAAAGATTAAAGATTTCTCTCTCACACACACACATGCATATACAGTTGAAGTCGGAATTATTAGCCCTTAGATTTTTTTTTTTTCCCTTTTTAAATATTTCCCAAATGATGTTTAACAGAGCAAGAACATTTTCACAGTATATCTGATAATATTTTTTCTTCTGGAGAAAGTCTTATTTGTTATATTTTGGCTAAAAACAGATTTAAATTTTGAAAAAGCTATTTTAAGGACATAATTATTAGCTCCTTAAGCTATATATATTTCTTGATAGTCTACAGAACAAACCACTGTTATGCAATCACTTCCCTAATTGCCCTAACCTGCCTGGTTAAACCCAATTAACCTAATTAAGCCTTTAAAGGTCACTTTAAGCTGTATAGAAGTGTCTTGAAAAATATCTAGTCAAATATTATTTACTGTCATCATGGCAAAGATAAAATAAATCAGTTATTAGAGATGAGTTATTAAAACTGTTATGTTTAGAAATGTTGAAGTCTCTCAGTTAAACAGAAATTGAGGAAAAAAAATAAACAGGGGGGCAAATAATTCTGACTTCAACTGTATAAAACCCCTTTGACTGCCACTCTACCAAACGGTTGACCATGTTTTGACTGTTTTAAATAATGACTGTTAAAGTATTTTAAAGAATGACTGTTTTAAATAATGTCTTACACACAGCATTGTTGGTTTACAAAAAAATCAAGCACACATAATCTTGTTGCAATACTACACTTGATTTTGGTTTTACTGTAAATCAACAACACCAAGAAAACATGTTAAATGAGAATCTGAAATATTTTACGGCATACTTTTAAAAATAAAGGTGATTTAGTATTCAAATTTATTTTATTTAGAATATTAAAAAAAAAAAAATTGGTCTTACACTTTATAATTTTTATTTTTCATTTGTATTAATTTCGGTACTTTTACCATACACCAACAAATCAACCATTTGGTAGAGGTTGATATTTTAGAAATTATGGAATGCGTTGGAAAAAAAAATGCATTGAGTGTGTTAAGTAGCGAGATTAGGAGTTAAAAAAATGCAATCCAATTTTTTTTTCTTGGTAAGGTAGTTAAAATGTTAATTACTGTATATTACGTAAATATACATATGTATATTTGTATGGTAAGTTGCTATAAAAGTAATTCCTGATTTGTAATTACATAATTAAATTGTATTTAAAATGTTTTTTTTTTTAATTGTTTACTTTTCTCATTAAGTAATGAAATTACTTACTAATTAGAAATCTCTATAAATCTCAACACATAGACAAAACATTTATTTTTTTGTTTAATTCAAACATGGCCTTTTACCTTTGTAATACTTAAAAACGGTTATTAAATGTTGCAAAAACAAAACGTTTTAAAGTAATGATACCACATGTTGCAAAATGTACATTGAGT